GTGCTGCAGAGAACCAGGAGCACAGTACATGTTTGCAGCAAGTTGTTGATTTGGTAAAGCGTTTGCCGAATCCCGCCGCTGAGGCTCGTATGGCGAGCTTAGAGAGCTTTATATAGTCCCGCCACCCGGGGTGGGTGCGAATGCGCTGGGAGGTGAGGTGTTCAGGATTCCGACTGCGGAGACCTGCGTTTTTGACCTTGGTTTGGCCTGCCCCTCCTCATCCGAAGTGCGTTGGAGCACATCCCTTTTTGAAATCAGTTCCCCAGAGTGATCTTGCAGCAAGGCGCGATCACTGCGCTGCACAGCGGTTCAAATAACAAAGGCTACAATTGCAACATCTAGGTTTCTACTTGTCGACTTGGAAAGTGTAGCCCTCGTCTTGAATTCCAGGAAAATCAGACAATTCTAGGCCCGTACGGGCTTCAGAGTCTGTTTTGTTCTCTCAGTGCGTGTGCGGCCATTCGCCCGCCTTCCAATATGGACATTATCATCGTGCGGGCATGGATGCTTTTGCCATTAGGCGCCCGGATGTGCTCCCAAGATAGAGACAGAGAGTCGAAATACGGTGCATATGGCAAGCCGCAATTTCTTCCCCCCTCAGCCCCCGAAAAGCCTGAGGGCAAATCCGGAGTCGCTGATGCGGCTGGCAGCGGCACGGGAATTGACCTGATATGTCGGCGACTGCCGGCATGACAAATACCTCCGGAACTAGGGGGGAGCAACAGCCTCCCCCCGCCGGGTGCTCTGCGCCCAAGACTTGGTGGATCTTTGGTGTCCGCTGGCGATGGCGCTGGAGCTCTTCATCCCCATATATCCCCATGGCACTGCGGGGACGGGCGCTCGGGCCTGGGGATCCCTATGGCACCGCCCCGCAGGCGCTAGGTGCGCTGTTGATCGCTGTTGTAGCTCATGGCACATGGGCTTCTGGCTGGTCTACCGGCACCGTTTGCTGCTCTACAGTTGCGGCCCTTACAGCTCGCTGCCTTGATGGCAGCCTTGTGCTTCCTGGACGTGACCCCGCCTCGGCGATGGACTTCCCCAGATTGTACAGACGACTTCCTCGTCTTCTCCTTTCACGGCGACGAGCTTTACAACACTCGCTGCCTTTATCGGCGGCTTGCGCTCTCTGGACATGATCATCCTGGTCTTCCCCAGTTTGTACAGCGAATTCTTTGTCGTTACCTTCGTGGCGACTTGCGTGAGTTTACCTTACCCTACTTGGCTTTTCCTTCGCCTCGCGCTTGAGGGATCAGCAGCAACCGAAACGCTTGGACTACCTCATGGCGGTCCTCACTTCATATCTCGCGCTTTGGCGCCTTCCATGACTACGCGCTGCCTCTAACCACCTACGGGCCTAGGTTGTGTTGCCGATACAGTTTCTCCAATCCGGCGGCCTCGGGTTCTTCTACATGAAACTGCGGCTGGAAGCGGATTTATCAGGCCTCAAAAACATTGCCAAAAGACAGCGTTTTCAACATGCCAGCAAAGAGCAAAAAAAACATGCAAAAAAACTGAAAAAAACACATACAACATATCAACGTCGCTTTCGTCCCCAAAAAAGCCCATGAACAAACAACACGCGAAGACAAACGTAGCGGCCTGCGTGCAGACATGTGTAGACGAACAGTAGGTGTTAGGAGGCCAGAATGACCTAATCACAAGGATTGATCAACCGATCATTGGCTCAAGGAAAAAGATCGTCAACCGTCCTGAGTACTTGTGTAAAGCAGCGTTTGCTGTTGTAACGATGCTATCTCTACACATTACATTCCTCATGCTCATTCTGATTCATTTTCATTTTTGCCGACCTCGCCGGCAGAGTTGTGCTTGCCTATCATATCCTGGTGAGTCCTGGCGTTCTTGTGGAGGACTTTGTCACTCGCCGTCTTCAGAGCGTTGCACAAAACATCAGAAAACCAATTAATTCGTGTTCTAGCAGATGAGGCCAGAGCATGGCCAAGATGCCGATATGGATGTCGATGCGGTTGTGACACGTCTTGACGTGAACATCGTGCTCGTCTGACACAGGGCAGAAGCTTGCTGGATTTGTTCTGCCTGTTCGCAGTTGTTTCACGTATAGCATTCAGTGTAACCTGCACAACATGGATGTAGAATCGTAGAACTTGCGGAAGAGTCACACAGACACGTAGTGGCTTCTCAATCAGTGCAGTATTCAAATGAAACGCAGCTCGTCGTGATCACTGAAGGGCCTGAAAGAATTTGAGATTCAGGGCAGCAGAGGCAACTTAAAGCAGTGCGCCGATAAACGCAGCTGAGAGTTGAGCATCATGTCCCCTGCTGATGGTCTGGGCCATGCCGGGCATGCCGGCCAAGGAGGCGGCCTTTGAAGGTTCATATTTCGCAGCTGTATGCATGATGCAAGATCCAAGTATGTTCTGTTGCAAGTGCGTGTCGGGGAGTCTTGCACACACGGGCAGTCACTACTCGGTGCAAGGCAAGAGCCTTGTTTCCTTCAGCAAACCAACCACGAAAGCAAGCTTTGTATGCCGGTTATGACACATACCTGACCTGTTATCCCTTTGCTTCACCCTGGGCTCTGAGTCATGCCGAACCCGGCCTATTATTTAGACTTTGATGCCTGGGGCGGCAGTATCTGTGCAGCGGAAGCACAACCAACAAGACACTGAGTCACTGAGCCCCTTTCTTGACAAGTACGTACTGTCGCGGCTGTTTCCACAGAGCACGCTCTGAACAATCGTGCAGTCATAGAATTTGTACGGTCACATGTGCGCGAGTGAAGACACACAGGGCCAATTCCGACTATGGAAAGGTCGAGAGCTTGGAGCCGTGTTTGTCATTTCAGACGTGGCCGTGCTCCGACAGACCTCTGATGTGTGATCTGGACCAAGGACTCTCACGGGCAACACGGGTGCAAAGCCCGAGACTGAAGCGGAGCCGTTGACTTGGGACTGCCGGCCATGTCCATCATGTCCAGCCAAATGTATCCATGTATACAGTGGCAAGCAGAAATTTGTGCTCGCAGGTTGTGCTCGCTGGTTGACCAGCTCTTCGATCTGGCTGATGTCCGCACTTTGCAAAAGAGCCCTTGTGAGCAGCAATGGGGTCGCGGCAATTGCCTCTCCACTTTGAGGTTGACTGCAGTGGCACCATTCAGTTCAAGGAGTTCCTGGATCACCATGGTAGAGCGTGTCTCCCAGAAAAGCCCTCGCTCAACTTGCGTGTTGTTGCGTGCCAGACATTTTCAGCACGCGCACGGGGTGGACAATATATGGTCACCTTACGATGTTCATTTGCTGAGGCGCTGACGTGTTTGAATTTGCGCAGTCGGCTCTAACACTTCCCTTGTTCAGTGCCTTACCTTTGCGTGGCCATTCTAGTGCGGCGAGGTATCGCCAGATACAGCCCTGGAAGGGGGAGCACGAACAGTATGCACAGATTTAAAATGCTCTTCAGGTCCTGGCAGTTCTGGTGAAGGGGTCGCAACGGTATGGGCAGCAACCCATTCACCCGGTGGGAGCTATGCTATGCAGCATCTGCAGGACCCGATCTATTGGAAACAAATCGCTTCAACGATTCGGTTCCCAAGCTGGCAACGCGCACGTCTAGATTTAGTGCAGTACTGTGCAGTTCCAGATGGCTTTTGATTGCTGGCTTTGGACCCGCACTGAATCTCAAGTATTGTGGGTTGGCGAAGCACGAGGATTTTAAATGCGAGTGTTTGAGAATTGTATGCACTGATCTGTCACACAGAAACCCTTCCAAACTCTGGAATTCCCAACGCTGAGCTTTAAATCTAGTGAATCTGGAAGCCCAGGATAGCCAAGACACGGCTGCAAGTTCAACCATACCAACATCTTTCAACTTGCCATCTATGGCAGATCTGAGGTGCACGAAATTGCGGCAGAATCCTTGGGGCGTGCCGAGGTGCTCTCATTCCTGAAGTGCAGATGACAAGTATTGACAAAATATCCATAGTAGTAATGTCAAAGTCGCTTTCTTCCCCGACAGGTTTTGTCGAGCGAGGAGGCTCTCGTTCACAGTTGGTGATGGAGATAGCCAAGCTGAACAAAAGCTTGAAATATGCAACTTACATGTGAGATCCGAGGCTCAGAAGATCTTTCGTCAAGCAGACCGGGACCATAATCACAGGCTCGACCGTGAGGCGCTATTGCTTTCGCCTGCAAAACATAAACTTGATGAGGTAAGCTGCGGAAAGCTGCAGTAGGCTTATCAGAATCATGATTTCAGGAGTTCTTCGACTACATGCATGGTCTACTCAACGTGATTGGCATCAAGCAGTTCAAGAGCGTGTTCGGGACGCAGTTCCCAATGTGACGCAGTAGACTTGCAGCATTGCAAGATAAGCAGGTCACTTACGCGTTTCTCACAGGTGTGCAGATGATAGCCTCGACTAAAGAGGGCCCCCGCGAACTTCCCTCAAAGATCTATACATGTTCGGTTGTCACTCCCTTCACTTTCTGGGGTTTCTCAGACGCCATCGCATTGGGGGGTTGTGCGTGGCGCCATCTGTGTGCGTGGGGGATCTTGGACGTGTTGGGTGGTGACTTCCCCGCAATTTATAACACAGACCCGGAACTAAATTATACATCACCCCTCATGTTATAGCAAAGTCAAGCCGGCTTGTCCACGGCTTCCCCACATCCTCCCCGTCAACCGGATATTGTGTCCTTCCGTCAACTCGATCCCTTTTGTCTGTCTGCGCTCCTGCGTCCGAGAGGTGGTGGTGACCCGCAAGATGCGGGCGCCCACGGCCAGCCCAGCGCCAAAACACGTTGCTCCGCTTGCCTCACTTGCCCCTTTGCCCCACATGCACTTGCCCCCAAAACTTGAGAACAGGCGTAACTCCGCAAAGATCGCAAAACATTAAAGAAGTATTGACAAATGAAGAAATAGTAAAAGCCTACTCGTGCGGGGGCCGAGGAGAATCGAGGCGACTAAGAAAAAGCAAGCAACAGAATCGAGGAGAATCGTGGGAATTTGTGGGTCGGGACCGCGCAATGCTGCGGCAGAGCTTTCAAGGCAAATTTGTGGCGTACCTGACCCTGAATTTCACATGTGAAATTACGCAGGTGCGAAGTCCTTGTGAAAGAGGAGACCTGTCGTGCACAACCCAGCGATTTGATCCTCTTCGTGCATTTGGGCTCGATGCCCAGATCAGGTCGAGCACATGTGGCTGAAGGATTCGACCGAAAGTCTTCGGAACGGCTACTCGAACAGGCCCAGATGGCAAGACTTTGCACAAAGCTGTCTGGTTTGGATATGATTTTCCATGCGGAGGCCACCACGGCTAATTTCTACAAAGATCCGATGAAGGAGGTGCCCGCTTGATTCAGCTCACTGCCGCAACAACAGATATAACAGATATGCCCGTGCCGCATGTCCAGGCGGCGCTGACCCTCTTGCAAAATAGAGCTGTCCGTGGCTTGGAGGGCCGCAAAAGATGAGTGCCTACTGAGGCAGAAGACCGTTCCCCTAAGATGCATCCCCCATCGCGTGTGCTGCCAAAGAAGTTGTTTTGCGAAGTAGCGGCTTAAGCCGTTGATTGCGTCTATCTGGCTTCACGCGTGCAAGCACCTTCCCTAAACATGGCTCTCATGATTCTTTAGGGGTTCTTACTGCATCCCTCACCGTACTAGCTGCACAAACATCACGCGGGTCGCCACAGCCTTGCGCTCCGAGCATCTGCGAAGTTTGAGCAGCAATACATATGTGAGTTGTGATCCCATTTTTTTGAACCGACGAATAATTTGGCCCGCGAATCGTTGGAAGAAGGGTGCAGCACCCAGCCGAACATGCAGCTGACTTTGTCGGAACAAGGATCCAAACATTGCTGACAAGAACGGGACAACTGCTTTGCTGCAACCTCAGTTCCGTTGGCTGCGTCAAGCTGCTTGAATATGGATGCGTGTTTGGCCCGCCCGGCGCAGCCGTGGCCATGAGACCTCCACGTCTAGTATGGGCTAATCGGATCAACTCGATTATGCTTAAAGTCACCCGTTGCGGAGTATTCGAGACTTGGAGGTATCACTGGTGGCTCGCATATTTTGAGGCTTTGGGGCATCAGGGAAACCAACGAATCAGCAGGCTTCTTTTGTCCAAGCACCAGCTCGCTTGTTCCGAGCTCTTCACCTCAGGCTTCACATGTGCGGGAAGATGGAGGCTGTCTTTGTGCGAGCCCGAGCTTTGCCAAGCATTGCCAAGATCGTTTCAGCACTTTCAATCCAAACTCCGGTTATCTGTTCAACAGATCTGCCTTCCCAGAGACTACGGACGCACAGGGCAAGCCGCGTGCAGCTAGCCTCTAGTCAAGGAGATTTTTTTTGAGCAAGCGCTGCTTGAATGGTGAGGGTTGGGATAAGGTTGGGCATCGGCAGCAGAATCCGCTGCTCGCTGCGAACAGATCGCGTTTCAAGTGAGCGCGCGATTCGAGCACCGGGGTCGTTCTCGCAGCTTCACGCACTCGTGATTCATCGTGGATCAAAAGCTCTGGCGATGCAAGCACTGGTGGTTTTGCGACGTTTTGCACCTCCTCTACACCACCCTCTACACAGCAGGTAATCTCTAACTTTAGAGGTCCGGGTTTCAGAGCCGAGGGAGCGTCCGCGAGTGGCGTAATGCGTGCTGTTAAGGGGGAACTGCACAGGACGCGTGTGCCCGTGGCGTTCTGACTTGTCAAGCTAAGGGGGAACTGTACAGGACGCGTGCCGTCGTGGCGTTCCCACGGCGTTCCGAATCCGTCAAGCTAAGGGGGAACTCCACAGAACGCGCGCCGCCGTGGCGTTCCCGCGGCGTTCCGAATCCGTCAAGCTAAGGGGAATTCCAGAGGACGCGTGCTGTCGTGGCGTTCCACGTGGCGTTTCGCGGCGTTCCGAATCCGTCAAGCTGAGGGGAATTCCAGAGGACGCGTGCTGTCGTGGCGTTCCACGTGGCGTTCCGCGGTGTTGCGAATCCGTCAAGCTAAGGGGGAACTCCGTCAAACTAAGGGGGAACCCACAGGACGCGCGCCGTCGTGGTGTTCCACGTGGCGTTCCGCGGCGTTCCGACTGCATCAAGCTGAGGGGGAACTCCACAGGAAGCGTGCCGCCGTGGCGTTCCACGTGGCGTTCCGCGGCGTTCTGCATCCGTCAAGCTAAGGGGGAACTCCACAGGACGCGCGCCGCCGCGGCGTTCCACGTGGCGTTCCGAATCCTTCAAGGTAAGGGTGAACTCCACAGGGTACGCGTCCCCTGGTGGTGGTCCTGGTTGTGGTCCCACCGTGTGGGCTCTGAGGCAAAAAATCTAATCCCGTGGTGCTGGTCCCGTGGTGGTGGTCCGTGCTGGTGGTCCCGTACTGGTGGTCCGTGGTGGCGGTCCCGTGGTGGTGGTTCCGTGGTGGTGGCCCTGTGGTGGTGGTCCGTGGTGTGGTGGTCCCGCAGTGGTGGTGGCGGTGGTCCCGTGGTTGTGGTCCATGGTAATGGTCCGTGGTGGTGGTCCCAGGTGCCCGTGGTCGCGTGGTGGTGGTCCCGTGGTGGTGGTCCCATGGTGTGGTCGCGTGGTGGTGGTCCCGTGTGGTGGTCCCGTGGTAGTGTGGTGGTGGTCCGTGGTGGTGCCAGGTGGTGGTCCGTGGTGGTGGTCCCGTTGTGGTGGTCCCGTGGTGGTGGTCCCATGGTGCGGTCCCGTGGTGGTGGTCCCGTGGCGGTGGTCCCGTGGTGGTGGTCCGTGGTGGGTGGGGTGGTGGTCCCGTGGTGGTGGTCTCGGTGGTGGTCCCGTGGTGGTGGTCCGTGGTCCGTGGTCCCGTGGTGGTGGTCCGTGGTGGTTGTCCGTGGTGGTGGTCCCCGTGGTGGTGGTCCGTGGTGTTGGTCCGTGGTCCCGTGGTGGTGGTCCGTGGTGGTTGCCCGTGGTGGTGGTCCCGTGGCGGTGGTGCGTGGTGGTCCGTGGTGGTGGTCCGTGATGGTGGTCCGTCCGCCGGCCACTGACGTTTTGTTTATTTTGCGTAATATTTGCGTTATAGGCTATAGGTGACTGCTCTCTGCATTCGGGTTCGTGGATCCTATCAGGCGTTTAGGTTTTCGGCTTGAGGACTCTTCGGGCTTTTCGTCCTTTAGGTTTAAGAGGTTTCGTCACGAGGCCCGCATGTAAAAGGGTTAAGAGGTTTTTGCACATGAGTCACCCGGCTGAGGGTACTTTTGGGGCTTGGGGGCTTTGGGGCTTTGGGTTTTGTTAGTTTTGGGCTTCGTGCTTATAGGGGTTGGGGTTAGGCTTTCAGGTCGTGGGTTTTTGGGTTCAGGAGTTTTGCGCCCCCTTCCTCCTAGATAGCCTTATCGGTGTTAATGCTTTCAGGGCTGCGAGTGCATTTCCTGGCTTAGGGCCTTTTTAGGTTTGAGGGCATTTAGGATTTACAACTTTAAGGGTTTAGGCTTTTAGGTTTTTCGGGTTCAGGGTTTAGGGTTTTGTCCAAAAGGGTCTGTTGTGGCTCGAGGTTTTGAGGGTTTTTAGGCTTGGGGGATGTGAGGTCGGGGTTTCTCGGGCTGCAAGTGAATTCGTTGCAGGAGTGCGCAAATCCTCTCTGGCCAGTGCGAGAATCGGGTGGTGCGGGAATCCAAAGCGTTAGTGCGTGACAGCGAACCATCTGTTTGCAAATTGGGTGCGCTAGTTCAGTGCGCGAATCTCGCGTGCGGCCAGCCAGTTCGCGAATCTACCTGCAAGTAACCACCGGGCGGAGTGCGCGAATCTGCAGTTTCCGAATCCGAGCGAATCCGGTGTTTCCGGTGCGTGGAGCGGTTTTTTCCGGCGCGAATCGTTTTTCCACGGTATGACCTCCCCTGCATTTCTCCGCAAAGCTGGCCTCCCTTAGGAAAAGTAAAGTTCACTGCTGCCATCGATGCCCTATAATTTGGTTCTTGATCATCGTGGCGTATGCGGCATCACATTGGCTTAGAAGGAATACCGAAGAGCATCCTTGCCACTAATACCTCTGCGCGACAAACCGAATTCAGCCGAAAGCCCACGTTGCTTTGACATTGAGTGCACAGCAACAGAATCGAAGCCTAGCGGTCCGGTAGACAGGCCTATAACGGCCTATAGCCCGGCTTTCAAGAAAGCTGTAGCAGCAGCTACATCTACAAAGAACGAAAATATCTACCTATCGTGTGGTGAAATCTAAATGCTAACTCAGGGAGCATGACAAAATACGGAAATACCAGAAAGCCACGCCAGAAGTAGCAGAGAACCATATTGGCAATACAACAACACCATATCGGCAATAGCAGAAAACCATATCGGAAATCCAGAAAAGCACGAAAGCCTGATCTTTGCGCGCTGCATCATTCAATCCAGCTTCCCATGCTGCCCATGCTGTACTTCTGAAAGTGCACCGCAGTCAGCGCCCATGGATGTTTTCAAAGCTTGATACGGAATTTCGCGCTGTATCGCCACAATCCGAGTAGTCAAGCATCGTGCCGAAGCGCCAAGTTGGCTCGGAAACATAACCCGCGCGTTAGACATCCTGCTGGTACATCGCATCAGGCCCTAACCATTCCGAGCATGTATGCACTCAGCCCACGTTGCTGCATGTTCATTAGCTCCATGCCCTTGCTTATGACACATAAGATACATAGCCAGCACGCGCTCACTTGTGTTGTACAGCAAAGCTGGGCCCGGCTGGGGACACACATGAAGGCAATGAAGGTGACAGGGGAACCAGGACGGCTCCTATTTCCGCTTCTCGAGTTCTCATAGCGGTCGCAGCGGAGGCCTGGCGTTTTCGCAAGGCCTCACTTCGCTTCCCACACCCTCACCGGTCCCTCCACCCTCGCTGCCCCCATCCTGTCTTCATCATTGTTTGTCCTTATGATCTGCGCTGTGGCGCCGGAAAAGGAGTATTCTTCTCGGCTATGTGCTCACAGCTAGCTAAAGTGCTCGTGAAAGAAAATTCATTGAAATTCGACGCAAAAAGCGGATCATCAAGGCCAAACAGCTTCTTGAAGCACGTTGCGACCCCATGCGGCACAACAAGGACGTTGCACAATCGTGAATGCCAAGGGGCTGTGCAGAACAAGTGCAGGACTTTGATTGTCCTGTTTTCCGTGCAGCACGTGCGCGACATATGGGTGTGCTCAACGTCTTCCTGCAGAGTGGCGCTCAGCTTCAGCTACCACGGCTTTTGTCTCTACCCATGACTGCATCATGTTGTACCCAAGGCCGGACTGGAGTCCACCCTTGCAGGCGCATTATTTGCTCGAAATCCTGTGCTGCAACGATCAGCTTCATTTCATGCACGTTATTCCCTTGAAGCCCTTGAAGCTGCCCTTGAAGCCCATGAAGCCCCACTTTCCATGCTCCCCTCAAGCCCTTGAAGCCCCCCTTCGACCCCCCCTTCGAAGCCTTTCAAGCCCCTCTTCAAGCCCTGGAAGCCCCCCTTGAAGCCCTTGAAGCGTTTCTTGAAGCCCCGAAGCCCCGCTTCATTCCCCCCTTCAAGCCCTTGAACCCCCCCAAACCCTTCAAGCCCTTCAAACCCTTGAAGCTCCCCTTCAAAGGGCTTCCTCCCTCAACCCCCCCCCCCCCTCCGCGGCACGCCGTTGGCAGGGCTGTGTGTTTGAGGAGAACAGCCCAGAAGCGAGGCAGAAGCTGGGTGAGGAGCGCTGTTTTGGAATCCGGAAGCTGGTACGGAAATCACCAAAACTACACGTTATCGCATCTCAGGAGATGGTCAAGCAGATGCATGAGTTGTCTGGCGTTCAAGTGAAGCAAATCATTGCAAAACGCATGGAGCTCAGTGTAGGTCCTTCAGCATTGAGGTAATGACAGATTGCTGTGCTCTTTTCTGGTAGGCGCCGACCTGAACTACAAGGCCGACGATTTGTTGTTTTCATTCGCGACGTGTTCTTTCAAAGGACACTAAAGGACACGAAAGATCCAACGAAAGCCTGGGAGGCTCAGAATGGCTGGACTCCATTGACAATGGCGGCTTTTCATGATCGAAAGGAGTGTGTCGAGGTGCCTTTCATGAGCCACTCATCAGGCCATTGATATCGCTTCTAGGGACTTCTACAGCCGTGACAAAGATTGTGAACTTAGACGCTTCCAACATATCTATATACATATATATATATATGGACATACCTATACCAAAATCTAAAAATCTCTACACAAAAATATGCAAGCATATATATATATACATATATCTATCCATCTATCTATCTGTCATTGTGCGAGAATGCGGGATGTGTTTGCCAGGCTCTTGTTCGCATTCAAGATTCGCTGAGGGGCCTGAAGCTGCAAATGCAGGGTCTGACTCCGAGACAGCTTGAGAGCCACAGCGTTGTTTGCGAAAGCACGCTTCGCCCTGGCCCGGTGCAGATTGTATTGGGGGGTGCTATGACAGCAGGGGTGAATAGGGGTCCATGGATGTCCGTAGCCGCTCCAGATCCACAGAGGTCCGTGGGTGGGATAAGGCTTTTCCATGCGATCTGTGCAGGAGAAAACAAAGGTTCAGAATCTCGAAAGGCTCCACAGAGCCGGGTGCAAAGGGTCATGCGTCCATGAAGAGTTTGCAGTTTGCACATGCAACATTCCAAAACCAGCAGCTTGTATCACGCAGCAAAAAATGCCTTTGAAAGATGATGTCCTGAATGTTGTATTTTACCGAGACCCAGTCCTTGCCCTTCACTTCAACTCAGCAGATAGCCCACAACCATGCTGACCGGACTACGCCAGACCGTGTCATAGTGGACATCACATCTAAGAGCACGTGTCTCCAAGGGGTTCACACATTGCATGTTGTGTAAGCACCCAGCCAGATGCCTGAACTCAAACGTGTGTATACATATCATGTACGTAGGACCTGTGGGGTCTGTTTGACTGGGTCTCTGTTGGCCTGTTGGCTTAAATGTTGAAAAGCACTTTCAGAAGAGTTTCGAGAATTTATCAAATTGTGAAAGAGAAGCCGAAATCTGTTCAGATGTTTGTACAAGCTTTATGGATCTCTGAACAAAAAGTTTACAAAAGCAAAAATGTCAACCTTTGGCTCGTCGGGGTTTCGGGGGGAGGCCGACAGTCTTTGTACATAAAAACATTGAAACGTTGAAGCTCTGCAGTGTTTTGAAGTTTTGAAAGGTTGAACGATAGGTTTTCAGCAAACAAATCGAACCAAAGGTTTCAAGAACGGCAACACTTTCAAAAGGCATCTTTGGCCAGTCTGGGTTCCGGGGAGCCCGAAATTGCTGATTATTTTGGATGCGCGTTCTTGCAATTGTTGTTGTTGTTGTTGTTGTTGTTGTTGTTGTTGTTGTTGTTGTCGCGCAATCGTTTTCCAAAGGTTCAATACGTTCAAAAGCGTCAAAGATTTTCTTTAAAAAAATCGGCATCCCCGGAACCCGGGCCAGCCAAAGAGGCCTTTCCAAATAGCAGAGATTCTGAAGTCTTTGAAACAACTACAATGCCAAAGTTTTCTAAAGTTTCAGTTTTTCTCAAACAGTTTCGGCCTCCCCCGGAACCCAGACTAGCCAGACCAGCGAGATCTTGAAAAGCTTAAAACCTTCTTTCATTATCTTTCAGTACTTTTCGGCCTCCCTCGCAAACAGCCTAAAGAGGCTTCCAATCTTTTGGGTATTTTGGAAGAGTTTTTGTTCAAAAACACGAAAGATTTCAAAGTTCAAGCCCAAACAGGGCTAAAGAAGCCTTAAGTTGATCTTTGAACAACCTTTGCGTCTTCTTCTGACAATCCAGACGAGGCCTTTCCAACATGTCTTTCAAACTTTGTTCTTCCAAAATGTAATCCCGCACCTCCCCTCCGGGAATAAAGAAGGGTAACGCACCATCTCATGCTCAAAGAGGAGTTGCCCCTCCCTAATGAGTTCCGAAGGGTTATCGTGTGGGTTTTTGGAGCTTGGCTTTAGATTCCTTGTTAGGCTGCTGTTGTGTAAGCTTATTATGTCAAGATTTTGCTTGCAAATGGGGCAGCGGCTGAAAGGAGTGCCCTTCGCCCTCCCAACCCCCTCGCTGTTTTTCCCGAAAGCATCGCGAAGGGTTCTTCCGTGCGGAGCTCTCTGACCCAACAACATATAGTTTGAAGTGCATAGAGTCAACAACATAGAGTGAAGTACATAGAGTCAAGGGCATAGAGTTAAGTGCATAGAGTGAAGAGCTCTGACCCAACAACATAGAGTGAAGTGCATAGAGTTAAGTGCACAGAGTGAAGTGCATAGAGTCTAGTGCAAGAGTGAAGAGCACAGAGTAGAATTCACGAGATTTTAGTACAATAGAGTAGAATTTAAGAAAATTTACGAGACTTTAGTAGAATTTTAGTACAATTTAGTAGAATTTTCGAGATTTTAGTAGAATTTAGCAGACCTTCGTACCCAGTCCTACATTTACTCTTTTTAAGGCGGCGGGCAGGGTTGACGTCGTCAATCGGGATTGCAACCCTCTGCGGGTTTCGGCGTGGTCGCGGTGCTAAAACCGTCGCTTTTTTACGTTTCTTGCTGTGCGCGGACAACCCTCTGCGGGTTTCGGAATGGTCGCGGTGCTAAAACCGTCGTGTTTTTTTTTTAACGTTTCTTGCTCTGCGCGGACAACCCTCTGCAGGTTTCGGCGTGGTCGCGGTGCCAAAACCGTCGTGTTTTTGACATACAAACGCAACCCCTCTGCGGGTTTCGGCGTGGTCGCGGTGCCAACACCATCGTGTTTTTGCTTTTTTTGACATACAAACGCAACCCCTCTGCGGGTTTCCGCGTGGCAGAGGTGCTAAAACCCTCATGTTTTTTGCATTGTTTTGTTTCACCGACAACGTCCTTTGTAGTACAAGAATATTACTATACAAAGCCAATACGCTCTTTTGGGCTTTAAAAATCCTCCTCTGTAGTACAAAAGTAGTACTGAACCCTCGTGTTTTTTTGCGTTTTTTTTTGTGACCGAAAACGTCCTTTGTAGTACACCAGTAGTACTGTACAGGGCCGGTGCGCTCTTTTGGGCTTAAGAATCCTCCTCTGTAGCACAAGAGTAGTACTGAATAGGGCCGGCGCGGGCTTTTGGGAGAGCCCCCCTCTCCAAATCCATCTCTGTAGTACAAAAGTAGTATACTGAATGGGGCCGGCGCACGCTTCTAGGACAGCCGTCGAAAACCTCGCAAATATCGTGGGACTCGAATTGCGGGGCGTCGAAAACCTCGCAAATATCGTGGGACTCGAATTCCGGGGCCTGAAGAAAACCTCGCAAATATCGTGGGACTCGAATTCCTGGGTTTCTCTTCGCTTCTGTGCCTTCATGATGCGTGCATGCTGAGTTGTTGCTTCCTGAAAGGCGCTGTGGACTATGAGCTTGGACTTCAGAGCTACTGCCGATGATGCTCCTGGCTGACGGTTCTCGCGTTGGATATTTTTGTGTTTTTTGTCTTTTCAATCATGGCTTCGCGTGGATTGGACGTGCGCAGCCGAGTCGGGTGCATACAAGTGAAGTTCTTACAGTTGCTCAAGTGCACTAAGTTGAAAAATGTCGAGTTCAAGTCCGTTAACTTCAGATGTATTGAATTCCAATGACGTTAATAGAGTTGACCACAAGTGCATGGCATTCAAGTCAACACACTTGAATGCCACGCAGTTGAAGTGCATACAAGTGCAGTATGCAAGTGAGTATGCAACCATAAGTGCATACAGTTGTCCAAGTGCATACAGTTCGAGTGCATAGAGAGAAGTGCATAGAGTCAACACACGGCAAATCGATGCTTTCGGGCCAATCGTCTTCTAGTCTAAAGTCAACACACGGCAAATCGATGCTTTCGGGCCAATCGTCTTCTAGACCGTCGTATGTTCTTAAAAAACTTGACCGCCAGACGAGCAGTGCACTACCAATATGTTTGAATTACCAATGTGGGGCTGGTATAGCACTAGCTTTTTGTCAGTCTAAGAAGTGTTAGGCATGCTTAAACAGAAGCAAGGAAAGCGTGCAGGCATTTGGTCAAGTTAGCATTGTAACATCTGCCATGAACGTGGGGCTTGGCTGGAAACGATTGTTCCAAACTGCCCTGTTCGAGTTGGGGGTTGGGAATCACGTGGAATCATGCTTTCGGCAGGCTCTGGCTGGAAAGTACAATGCCAGCGACGCGTGGTGTTCGTTTTGGGGCTGACTACTATGGTTCCTAGCCCTTTTTTCTGGCAGAAAGGATTGGGAATCATGCTTTGACCCGTGTGGGGGCTTGCAACGCCGTGCCAACAAACATGGTTTTGGTGTGTTTTGGGGCTGGAAAATAGTGGCTTGCTGGCGCCAGCACTGCGCTGGCACGGTGCTTGCAAAATGTGCACGGCTTGGGTTTTCCAGACAGCCGGTCGGTCACTGGACGCAAGCACGAAGGTTTGCGGGCCTATGGGGATTGGATTTCCTCAAATCCCAAGCTTCGGACCTCAACCCTCAACTTTTGACCTCAACCCAAAACTCTTCCCCTAATACTAAAACATGTTGGCCTGGGGTGTGGCTGTTGAAATTCAAAGTCAACCCCGTTTATTCTCGAGTCCCTCCGCCCTATACTGTTTTGAAGAGCTAGTGCATTTGCGAGGATAACGGGGGGTTTGGATGGGAATATACTACTTGCTCATCTTCTGTATGGGAGGCTCTTGTTCTCTTGGACATGAGGCGGCCCCCCAGCTACACGCATCCCACGACACATTTTGGATGAGTAACTTTTTTGAGAAAATGACCACTGTTTGCCAACTTCGAAAATTGTGGTGCTTGGGCGGATTTTCCCCGGCAATGCCTTGCGAGGAAGTGCATGCTGGTTAGGGATTTAGACCTCATGGATAGGGAGAGAGTTTAAAATCAAGGCCACAGTAATGATACGGGGGGTCAGGGAAGTGGGTTCAAGATAGAAATATTGAGGGCGCACAAAGAGGGTTAACACGAAGGATGCCGGGGGTGAACAAGAAGACACACTTTGGGCAATGCATGCCAATTTGAGACAAGGCCATTGTGATGAGATACTGAGTTGCTATAAGTTTGCTATAGGACATGACAGGAAAGGTATAACAGAGAATACCTGGTTTTGGCTTTGGCTCCAAGATCGTCCGCCCAATTTGAAGGTTGTTCAAAAGGTTTTGTTGTCGAGCTTTAACAAGCAGCCTTGCCTGGCACGCAGACTGGCGAAAGAAACGCGACAAGTTTCATTTTGTCGCGAAAGTTCTGCGCTATGCCCTGTGTTAGTGACATTCGCAAAAGACGTTTGAAATCTGCGACCCGCAGGTAGCCTTTGACCCAGCCATTTTCATCTTCTTGCGTGTGAGACCATTAACATACAGTATTCGTCCAGTGGTTGGCAGATGGCCACAAACAGCGGACGTGCCACTCATTTCAGAGCTTAAGAGGCAAGCTCCATCGCGTCACACAACATGGCATCTGCAACATGTTGGCCTGAGATGAACGTCCAGTGAAAGTTCGCGAAAGTCGCCGCGAAAGATTTTAACACTCTGCACGAGTAATTTCCTTTTTCGGGTGAAGGAATATTGAGAAACAATCGATGTGATGTACACTTGCTGATTGGAACATCTCGAGAGTCTGGACGACAGCTGCAAAGGCAAAAATGCGCGAGGGCGAGCAGCTCTGCATGTGGCAGCCCGGAAGGCGTTGAACTTTCAGATGCGCTCAGCTGCGTTGATAGCTATGTTGAGCTGCTGCGATCGTTGGAAGGATCTTCCAGAGATCGCGACCCTTTTGATTAGCAACGGTGCGGATCCTGACGTGAAGGCCTGTCGGTGCAAATGTACCCAGTTTATCTCTTGGAAAAAAGACCTTGTACGGTTCTGCTCATCGCGTTGCGTCAAAGGATGTCGATGGCTGGACACCGTTGCACCACGCCTGCTTCAATGGAAACTCGCGAATGGTGAAGGAGAGCTGGGGCAAAATTGCCCATGTGGACACGTAGTTGCAAGTACCACTCGCCTGCAGGGTAAGTTGCAGGCTTCACGAGTTGTGACTGCAATTAGCCCGTGACCAGTCTTGGAACGTCTTGAGAGATGCGATGACAGCTACGCTATGGGGACAGAATTCTGGGGTTGAAGCGGGTGTAATTTCAACGCTACGCGACCCGCCTCGGCCTGGCCAAGCGCTACCCCCTGAGCATGTGGAGTCCGCAACCAGGCACCTTGAAAGCTCTGCAGCTGCACTGGGCCAAGGTGTCAAGAGCTGACAAATTCAGCCTGCGCAAAAACAACAAGTCACATCCCAAGCCAACTGGTGCGGGTGGGGGGCGGGGTGGGGGGGGGGGGTGGGGGGGGTGGGGGGGGGGGTGGGGGGGGGTGGGGGTGGAGGGGGGTGGGGGGGGGTGGGGGTGGGGGTGGGGGGGGGTGGGGGGTGCCTAAATTGACGCCCCCCCTCCCCCACCTCCAAAGTACGCCCTCACCCGAACGATGCAAAGCTCTACAACTGGACATGGGTTTAGGTTCTGAGTCCTGAACTGCGACGGCCAAGTCTGCCCTTGTAAAACTCTTCTTCCAGATCTCGTACCAGTGACCAGACCAGCATGGTTGTCACTATGCAGAATGCAAAGATCTGCAGGAGCTCCTTCACGGTGGTGCCAACCTTTACATTCGAGGCGCTCCTTCACGGTGCCCATCAAGCCAAAATCAAAAAGTCACGCAACATCCCAGATTCAAGTCTTCGAAAGAATTTTGAGAAATGATGAACATGAGCCAATCCGAATGCAACAAGTTGGAAGGCCAGAATCAGAAAGGCTAGACATGTCGCCAGGTCGCAAGGTCAAACACTCAACATAAGACTGCGGACTTGCCATGTCCCATAGCCCATAGCATGAGGGATTGCACAGGGCTTCTGCCTACGACAAGGAAGGCCTGCAAAGAACAAGCAAATTACTCGTTTTGTACATGCGCTCTCAGGTCAGGAAGCGAGCATGGTTTGGCAATGTTTGGCACAAATATTAATGTCACGGGGGGGAATGCCCATACTGCATCCAATATGTCCATGCGAGTGGATGCAACTTCGGGCCAGGCTCTGGCGGCTTCACGTCTTACATGGTCACGAAGTTACCACAGAAGGCAGGAGGACATTAGCCGCTAATCATTAGCCAGACGCCACGTCAGTGGGAGTGTCGCGACGTGAGGCTTCAGAGCTGAACGATGCAGTTTACCACTCAGACAGTGTGCAAGATGTATCAAAATGTGCAAAAGCCGTGCAACAACATCGCCGTCCGTGCCCTCTTACGCTCGAGAAGTCGTTCGGGCGGAAGATCGACCGCAATGTCAACCTCATTTTTTTGACGGGGCGAAAAGTGTTATTATTCGGCCGGCCCGGGGATCGCAGTCCAAGACTTCTTTCCATTAGGAGAAGGTTCCGGGTTCCGGGTTCACATGTCTAAACCCTAAACAGCTCTATAAAAGGGGGTCCGGTGAAATAATAAATGGGGTGACAATGATTAAAATCGGCTGGCCAGGGATCCAAAATCTTGCTGCAGATTGCTTTTGAGTGAAACTGCAGTCAGATCCCCAGACCCCACACCCCCAGACCCCCCAGACCCAGATTCTGGGGCGGGGTTATCAATGTGACCCTAACATAATATAAGCAGAAAAGACGCATCAAAAACACACGCACCGGTCCCTGCGATGGTAGCTAGTTTCTAGAAAGGTATACTTTTTTGGTGCTTGCCTGCAAGTTTGTCCCTTTGGAGGCCTGAAGGCTTTACCCATGACCACTGGGATGGGAGCCGCGGCACCTTGAAAGGAGATCTTGGAACCCTAAAAGGGGGGGTTTGGGGGCCAACCTTACCCTCAGCCCTAGACGTGGATATGGGGTGGCAAGCCCTAAACCTTAAAAAGAAAATTTAGTCGCCGTAGGGTGCAAGCCCTGAGCCTTAAAAGGGATGTTGAGTGGCACGCGAACCAAGTATCCTTGGGAGATGCTGAAAAGGCATATCTAGAGCTGGCTGATGTAAGCGATTGGAGCCAGAAGACCTTGAATGCAAGTGAACGAGAACTGAGAGAAAAGGTCAAATCTGAAAGAGAGGCCATGAGTGCAGAAAAACACCGACGCAACCTGAATGCGAACCTACACTCAAGTGTCCGCCTTAATGTTGCAGACTCCGAATGCACCGTAGGGTTCGGTATGATATTGTACTCGGTGGATGGGTGGGAGGTGTTTTGTATTTTTTCATTAACCAGATGGCATTGGGCATTGCAAAACGGCTGTGGGGGTTACATTGCAAGATCGTTTGGTTCGCGGCGCCCCTTAAATTGTCCTGAGGCACTTGGACTGGTGCAGCCCAGCGAGGGTGTGGATTTTTCCAAGCGCCGCTCGGTCTTGACTAGCAAAATGTGTTCTTGGGCCGCGTTCGGCTGGGACATTCGTGCAGGCATCGTTCCCATCCTGAAGGACGAGCAAATGACTCCGTTGCAGAAGATTGAGGCCCACAGACTGCATGCATTTGCATTCCTTAGAAATGCACTCATTGGAATGCAGGAGATGCTCATGCTGCCGGGGGTGAACCAGGCAACAGCCATCGGCAGCCTTTACCACGGTCCTTACCAGGTGGTGTTTAGGGCTTAGGGCCTAGTACAAGCCGGCCCTGCCTACTTCCCAGCCCGAAAGGGGTGTGCAGTGTTGCAGCAAGCTACACGTTTCGCAAAGTAAAGCCACGCCGCTGAGTGGGATTTTGTCTTACAACTGGACCAGATGTGGCACGGACAGATATGGACGCACTGGAAGTTGCGAGAAGATGCTCTGATATGCTCAAACGAGGACAGCATAGAAAAGAACGTGGCGAAGAGCCCAGACAAAGGAATGATAAGAGCTGTAAAATCTGACAAGTTCGTGCTTGGCCTGTTTGCAGCACCCCGACCGCCTCCGCCTGTACGAGAATTTCTTTCACGCGGCGAAAGGACCCAACAAGGCTTGGGATGAACTTGTGGCTTCCTGTCACAATGAAACAACCCTTTGTTGCCACAGCTTTAAACGCATTTTAACTGGCTTTGCCGTTCAGGTCAAGTTGAAGCTGGTGTGGGCGCACCTCATAATGCCTCTGATACCGCGAATCCGCTCCGGAGAGGCACCAGTCTACAGAAAGATGTCTCCAACTCGCTGCGCTTTTTGAATTCAAATCAGATAAAATTCAAGTGTTCATTCTGGTTCATTCTTGTTTTTCTGCGCTGCACGTGGCCAACTCTCGATTGGACACAGGTGGACATGGAAGTGGTGCCGGGTGCACATCTGTCAGCTGAGGCCTCCAGCTGCCGCGAGTGCACTCCTGAACCAGGTCAGAACGAGGTTTAGTATCTCAGTTTTTCACACGTGAGGGCAAGACAGAACATCTCGCCGAAGTTGACCGGCGCCACTTCCTTGGGCATGCCGATTCCATTGGTGCATGCAGACCTGGAGCCTACAAGCAGGCAGACAGCTGCAGACCCATTTTTTCCGCCACTGGCTTGCGGAGACAAGGCGGTGGATGTTTCTAACACTATTTTTGTCATCGTTACCAATCAAAACACAGCCAATCTGAAGGGGACCTCGGCCAAATTCGCTCTGGAAGTTTGAGAGCCGAGAATCCTACAGGATAGAACTGCCCGGCAGCTCAGTCTCTTGCACTCGGCGGTTCTAGGGCAAAGCCATGGCAAAGCCGTCCAGCAACGCCCAGCCACTCAGGCAGGCACTTCTCGAGCAAGAACTCGACATTTTCAGGGAGCGTTTCAATGATCTCTATGCCAGGCCCAGGGCCAAAAGGAGTCTGAGACTGTGTGTGGGCGAACGGTCAGACAGGCTTAGGGAGGAGGAGTTCGGCGAGGCTTTGGCCGTGGGTGCCCCAGTGCCACAGCGGCCACAGGGAATGCGTACCGAGGCGTCTCAGAGGGGCAGCTTGCAGAAGCAACTCAGCAGTAACTCAGGGTTAGCTATGAGCGAGGCCGTGACACAGAATGAGACCATCCACAAGCTCCTCGTTATGGTTGTTTAGGTCCTCTGGATTTTTTGCATATCCGCCTTTCGTTCCTGCAAGGCCACTGCTATCCCAGATCAATGCGCACGCATTTCCAGTGTGGGTTGAGCAGTGGCCCGGCAATAAGACAACTGACACGGGCGAAATGGTGTGAACTTGCGTGGTGCCTCTGCCCAGACACAAGAAAGAGAGCAGGTTGGATGTGGCGGAAGCTTTGGAGCAATTCCGCTTAGTGGGTGCTGCTGGAATGGCAGGCACGATCAAGAACGATCATGCTCTCAAGTATCGTCGTACAAATTGCAGTGCCACACATGGCAAGGCAGTCCATGCCATGTCATTGCTCAGGCAAGCACGACACAGCGGCAAGGCTTGAGTTAGTTGAGCGCAGATCCCAGGCCTTGAGTGGATCTGTGTGGCGGAATGAAGATGAAGCGAGTCTGTCTAGGCTGCTGACAATCTCACACACGCTGCGGTGTGGTCAGAGTCTTAGTAACGCGCAACAACGCACAAGAAGGGGCTTCAAAAGGGCTTCGAATGACATTTCATGTAGAAGACAAGCAGGGCTGCGGGCGGCTATGGCTACTATGGACACTGCTGCGCTGTCAGGTCGGACCTTCTGGCGGAATGCATATCGAACCTGGCTGCTGCAGTGTGCGCAGCTGGTAGACCATGAGCCGCCTGGTGCTGAAAAATCATAAGCTTTGAGCACTTAAACGCAGCTTTGCAGAATTTCAATACTAAATTAGGATCTGGCTTCGAGTTCATCGTAGTTCGTGTTGGGGGGTACCAACAAGCAAGGCATGCCTGAGCTTATTTAAAAGGCAGAGAGCGCACCACACAGACCGCTTCGAGGTTTCATGAGTTTATTGCCTATCATTCTCCAAGCTCAGTGAAAGCTTCGCAGAAGCGCAGCACTTTTTAAACATGCTTGCAACGTATCTATGTATCTATTCAAGGTGCGCAAGGAAAATGCGCAGTATCGTCGAGAAGTTCAACACCGAGCACCAGATGGAGGCTTTCACATGCGCAGTGTCTTTGCAAGTGCTTAAAGAGCTTGGAGGTCGCACGGCGATGAATAAGGGTCGTTACTGGCGTCTTGCAAAACATTGCGAAACATTGCCAACATTGCAAGCTCTGATGTGCCCCAGGGGTTGGTGGCCAGCTTGATCCTCAAAGCGAGTCTTGCAACGCATTGCCGTTATGTATTGCCTAGCCGCTCAGGTTACCGCCATGGGCCTGTCAAGTCTGAGGAAAGAACTAGGCACAAGGACCTGCGTTTTTCTTGATGGTGTAGCCATGGCCGCATCGTCGAATTGACGGAGAGGAGCGAGCCCTCGGCTTGAAGCCATCTGCCGATACATTCGATGGAGCCTCCCCCGGGTGCAGCATTTTTCATGCCCACGACTTTGCCGATGAACTTACAGGTCGGACGACGGCCTCGCAAGTACTGGACATGGTTCGTGGCACGGCAAGCTACTTAACGCAGAAGCGAACCAGGAGATGCGCATGTTGGCCCCTGTTCGAAGCTGAGCTGTCAGATCTCCGTGAACTGTCCGAGAGCAGTGCCGGAGCTGAGATTGCCTCTGCTGTGTTCAGATGGGCACATGAGCATTGATTTGCTACACGTTGTGGCGCGCCAGCCGGTCTGAGGCATGCAGCTGTTTATGTTAAAGTATTCGGAGTGCATGCTGAAAGGCATGGGGACCAAAATTGAATAAGGATTAGATCCACGGTTTGGATCTATTTAGCTTTGTTTCGGGAACGTTGGCTCCGATGTGGCGTTTCCACTCACGGAGTGTTTGCCGGTGGTTCGTAGAGATTCTGCTGTAATTGGCCACTGTCTTTTTTCGTGTTCACTTTTCGGCTTTCTATCGTGGAGGCCGAAGTAACTTCTACCAACACCTTGCTAGAATCTGCTAGAAGGCATCGGCGTCCATATGCACGCGAGGGCTGAGGCTGGACATAGGATACTTTTCTGCTTGGCCAACAATGCAAATGCAGGTGGGCGTGAAGCTGCTTGTGCGCCCAGCCTCCATCTTTTTGGGCCTTCTTATGTTTCCATTTTTTGTACTGAACCTACCCCTCCTATTTAGGGGGGTCCATCTTTCGTCTGTTTCCATTTCTCGGAAAGAAACACCTGCCCTGCTCGCTGCACCAACTACACCGCACAAACTACACCACCACACCACGCTACCTCACCTACCATACGCTGCCAACACTAACACCTACAACGCCACCACACCGCACCGCATTACCCCACATACACAGCTTCTATACCTTGGAAACCCTTGGAACCCCCCCGCCCCCCCTTCCCCCTGTTTCGGGTCGATTTGGGGGGTTGCGTTTCCATGTTTAGGTCTTCTTGGGAAGCTTTTCGTTTATTGTTCGTTTGTTTTTATGTTTTTGTGCTGAACCCAACCCACCTGTTTCTGGCGGATTTGGGAGGGTTGGGTTTCCATCTGTTTGGGCCTTCTTGGGTTTCGTTTGTTTCCAGCCTTTTTGTACTGAACCCCACCCCCCTTTCGGGTCGATTTGGGGGGTTAGGTTTCCATCTTTTCGGGCCTTCTTGGGGGTTGTTCGCTAATTACGGCTTGGAAACGCGCCGAAGATTACAACTTCGCCGAAATAGGCAGGGCACCCTCCGGCAAGTTCCATGATGGATCGACGTGTGAGTTCGTGTAACGACATGAGCTGAGAGAGAACTCTCACAATGTCATGTAAAGGCCTTTAGAGGAACTTGACATTTGAGTCGTTCGAAGTGCATGGATAGCTGTGTGTGTTTGTGCGTGAGATTGTGATTGCATGTGTGTGTGTGTGTACGCACACACAGGTGTAAGGCATCCTGGAAAGGCGTCGCTGCCACAAATCAATTCTTTCAATTCAGAATTTTTGCAGGGGGCATAGGGGGCATTGAAGAGTCCTGCGCCAACGAAGACGTTCTTCAATGTTCGTGGAAGAGTACCTGCAGCCGTGCGCTTGGCTGACTGAGGTCAGAGTTTTTTTCCAGGCCGGTCGTGACATGTATCAAGTTTCCATGAGGTTTGCAAAACCGGCGCTAGGCTGTGAAGAGCGGTTGGGCATGTGTGTTTTTTCTGTTTTGCAGTTTGCTGTCTTGTTCTGAACTGTGCTGAGAGCAGTGAGAGAGCTGTCAACATGTTCCGAAAGCTAAAGCTTCCCAGAAGCTTGTGACAGTCAGTGTGTGTCTGTATGCGTGAGAGATTGATGCTGGCAGAATTCATCATTATTGGCCTTGCGCAGAGTATGTGAGTTGTATGTGAAGCTTTCGGGCCGGCGTGAAGCACGTGCGGAGTTTACTCGGAGCCTCTGTAAAGTTCCTAGGCTCCAAAAGGCGGAGTGACAAACTTTTCCGTTTGCTGTAAGTACCCTCGAAATTCGTTTGAAGTTCATGTGCAGTTTGCTGTTGGACAATTTGAGACTTTCGCTGCCTCTGAGGCGTTTGTGTTCGGCAAGTTCTCTAACATGGAACTTCGTCAAATGTTCCTGTGGCCGCCGACCGCAAGCTTTCATTGTTGAATGTGAGCTTCTAGTTCAATGTGTTCTGCTTTATCTGCTCTCTTGTCTTTTGCCGCCTGGTCACAACCCGCGATGCCGCAGCAGGCGAATGTGTTCTTCTGCGCTTTTTCTTTGTAATTCAGGAGCGCCAGTTCATGTCCGTGCACATTGATCAAGTTCCTGGGCTCAAACGACCCTGCTGATGGGCTAAGCCGCTACGACCCTGGATTTCCAATCTGGTGGTTTGTGCCCAGCTGGCCAGGCTTTCCATCTGCTCCGCGCATCCACACTTACCCGCTTCAGCATGACATTTCTAGTTTTCTGGCTTCTGCTGGTTCCCGGCAGATATTGAATCAAATGTTGCGTAGAGCCCGGATGCAAAAAAATCAAAGGTCAAGCGTTCTGCATCCGGCATGTTCCGGTCGGATTGCCTCTGCCCGATGGTCTCTGTCACACCTCCGAGGCTTCAACCTACCGGGACTTCCGAAGGCAACATGAAGAAGGGAACGCTCTGTATTTTTACGCTTACTGTAATCTACGAGGGCATGCGTAGCGGACCAGCGTTTAGCTGCGAACTGGATTAGAACCAATTGCCAAGAAAAAGCAATCAACACCAACATGCTGGATCCCTCATCCCTGTGACAGTCTGGCTTAATTAATGCATGGAACCCGAGCACAGCAGCTGAGGCGCTTGTCATGCTGGATCTCTTCAGGACATGCAGAGTGTGGCTCCTCGTTTGCCGAAACTTGTTTAGGCGATGTCCCAGTTTGCGTGTGCTTTCAGGAGCTTGGATAGATCGATGGATCGGCTTTTGTTGGTCCGGGCACTTCCCACAGAACACTTGCAGCTTGAGGTGACGGCTATTGAAAGCAAGTGTACGGCAACCAGAGTGAGGTGATCAACCGCTACCACCCAGAGTCTGAAACAATGTGCGGGCATAGGCGCGTAAGCCCTTTGCTTACCCAAACCCGTTCGATAGCAGCAAATGACCCACTCTCGTAGATTGCAGCAGCAAAGCACTAGCAACTTTATTGACATGTGTTGACACATTTTGTCCAGAGCCGATGCAGATTCATCGAGATGAATGTCCTGTTCCGCAACGGCGTCAGAGCTTGGTCCTTAGTTGGTCCTTGCCACGCTTGCCACGCAATGTGCATCAAAGTGCGTTGGTGTCGTCAAATCTGCTGAAACAATGGCGACCGTCGCGGTGAATGTGCATGATGCTGCTCGGCGTTCCATGCTCCAACCTTCATACATTTATGTATCGCAATTATATCTATACACTTGGTTAATATGATGGCAAGGTCTCATTGATCTGCCGTTCCTTCTTGCAGGGGCAAACACTTCAAAGTTTTCTTGAACGAGCTCATGAATCTACAGGCATTGGTTGTCTTTTGTCGCAACATGAGCGATCCTGGATTGTTTTTTCTTGTTCATGTCAAAAAGAGCCGCTCAGAGAATTCAACGTCTTTTTAAACGTTGTAGTAAGGTACTCGCACTTTTA